AAATCCAAGTAAAACTTTTCACAAACCTCAAAAGGACAATTCTCAATTTCATATGGAAAAATAAAAAAATAGGATAGCCAAAATAATCCTGTACATTAAAGGAACTTCCCAAGGCATCACCATCCCTGATTTCAAACTCTACTATAGAGCTATAACAATAAAAACATCTTGGTATTGACATAAAAACAGACGGGTGGACAAATGGAATCAAATTGAAGACCCTGCTATTAATCCATACACCTATGAACACCTGATTTTTGAAAAAGAAGCTAAAATTATACAATGAAAAAAGGAAACATCTTCAGCTAATGATACTGGCATAACTGGATGCTGACATGTAGAAGAATGCAAATAGATCTATATCTATCACCATGCACAAAACTTAAGTCCAAATGGATCAAAGACCTCAACATAAACCCAGCCACACTGAATTCTTAGAAGAGAAAGTGGGAGGTACCCTTGAATGCATTAGCACAAGAGCCTGCTTCCTGAACATAACACCAGTAGCACAGACACTGAGGTCGACAATAAATGGGATCTCCCGAAACTGAGAAGCTTCTGTAATGGAAAGGACACAGTCAATAAACAAAATGGCAGCCTACAGAATGGGAACAGATCTTCACCAATCCCTTATCTGACAGAGGGCTGATCTCCATAATATATAAAGAACCCAAGAAACTAGATACCAAAATACCAAATGATCCAATTAAAAAATGATGTACAGGTCTAAACAGAATTCTCAACAAAGGAATCTCAAATGGTTGAAAGGCACTTAATGGAATTGCTTAACATATTAGCCATCAGGGAAATGCAAATCAAAACAACTCTGAGATACCATCTTACACCTGTCAGAATGTCTAAGATTAAAAACACTAATGAAAGCTTATGTTGGAAAGGATGTGGAGAAAAGGGAACACTCCTCCATTGCTGGTGGGAGTACAAACTTGTACAGCTGCTTTGGATATCAGTATGGTGGTTTCTCAGAAAATCGGGAATCAATACCTCAAGATCCAGCAATACCACTCTTGTGCATAAACTCAAAGGATGCACATTCATACCACAAGGACATTTGTTCAGCTATGTTCATAGCAGCATTATTTGTAATAGCCAGAATCTGGAAGCAACCTAGATGCCCCTCAACTGAAAAGTGGATAGAGAAAATGTGGTACATCTACACAATGGAGTATTACTCAGCAGAAAAAAAAAGAATCTTGAAATTTGCAGGCAAATGGATGGCATTAGAAGAAACCATCCTGAGTGAGGTAACCCAGTCACAAAAGACAAACATGGTATGTACTCACTCATATATGGATTTTAGACATGGAGCAGGGAATTGCCAGCCTACAATCCCACCGCTAGAGAGTCTGGGAAACAGGGAGGACTCTAAGAGAGATATGCATGGTAACTGGAGAAGGGTTATGTGAGGAGATCTCCTAATTGGATTGGGAGCAGGGTGGGAGTGGAGGGGAGAGGGAGATGGGAGAAAGAGAGGGGGAGAAGAGGAGGGGAGAGGAGGACACAGGGGAGCAGGAAGGTTGAGCCAGTGCAAGAATAGAGGAGAGAAGGATGAGAGATGTCATAATAGAGGGAGCCATTATAAGTTGGAGGAGAGATCTGGCACTAGTGAGATCTTCACAGATCTACAAGAATGACACCAACTGGCATTAAGGCTACCTTAAATGCCCTCCCATGATAATGAGATTGATGACTACCTCATATGCCATCCTAGAAGCCTCATCCAGTGGCTGACAGAAGCAGAGGCGGACACCCACAGCTAAAAACCAAATTGAACTGCTGGAAACAAGTTGCAAAGAGGAGTGATGAGCAAGGGAATCAAGATCAGGCTGGCAAAACCCACAGAGGCAGCTGACCTAAACAGGGGGGAATGCATGGACCCCAGACTGATGACTGAAAGGCCAGCATGGGACTGATCCAGGCACACACACACCCCAAAAACCTGGGTGTCAGAGAAGAGGCCTCTGCAATTTATGGGACCTTGGAGAGTAGAGCAGTATTTATTCCTGGCACACAAATAGACTTTTGGGAGCCCATTCCACATGGAGGGATGCTCTCTCAGCCTGGACACATGAGGGAGGACCTAGGCCCTGCCCGGGATTATATGACAGACCCCAAAAATCCCTCATGGAAGGCCTTACCCTCCCTGGGGAGCAGAAGGGAGATGGAGTGGGATGGGGGCTTGGGAGGAAAGGAGGAGCCAGAGCAAGAGGGGAGGGAAAGGGAACTTACAGCAATATGTGTAAAAAGTTAAATTGTATATATATAGTCGAGTAGAGGATAGGACCGAGAGGAGAACAAAGAAAGAGATACCCTGATAGGGGGAGCCATTATGTGGTTATGGAAAAATCTGGCACCAGGGAAATGTCCAGAGATCCACAAAGATGACCCCAGTTAAGAATCTAAGCAATAGTGGAGAGGGTACCTTAACTGCCCTTCCCCAATAATCAGATTGATGACTACCTTAATTGCCATAGATCCTTCATCCAGTAACTGATGGAAGCAGATGAAAAGATTCACTGCTAGCCGGGAGGTGGTGGTGCATGCCTTTAATCCCAGCACTTGGGAGGCAGAGGCAGGTGGATCTCTGTGAGTTCGAGGCCAGGCTGGACCGACAGCCTCCCAAACAATACAGAGAAACCCTGTCTCGTAAAAAAAAAAAAAGATTCACAGCTAAGCACTGGGCCAAACTCCTGGAATCTAATTGTAAAGAGGGAGGGAGGAGTAATGAGCAGAGGGGTCAAGACCTTGTTGGGGAAACCCACAGAAACATCTGACCCTAGCAAGTGGGAACTCAACGGATTCCAGACTGACAGCTGGGGAACCTGCAAAAAAACAAACTAGGTCCCTGAATGTGGATGACAGTTGGGGTCCTTGGGCAGTTCATGGGGCCACTGGCAGTAGAATCAGTATTTATCCCTAGTGCATAAACTAGCTTTTTAGAGTCCATTCACTATGGAGGGACGCCTTTCTCAGTCTAGATACAGTGGGGAGAGCCTTGGACATGCTTCAAGTTTTGTGACACACTTTGAAGATTCCCCTTGGGAGGCCTCACCCTCTCTGAGGAGCGGATAGGGCTGGGGTGGGGAGATAGTGGGGGGAAGTGGGAGGAAGAGAGGGAGAGGGAACTGGGATTGGTATATAAAATACGATTGTTTGGAAAATTATAAAAATAAATAGAAAACAAAACAGAAGGATGAAATTTGTAAGAAATGAATGAATCTGGAAAATATACTTAATAAGGTAATCTAGACTCGGAAGACAAAGCCTGCATAAGAGGACCCTAGCCTATAACAAGATGGCAATGATAGAAAAGAAGAAAAAAAGACGGAGAGGGGAGGCTACAGGAGGGAATGGGAACCAGGGAGAGCGGGCCAGGGAGACGATGGTGCAATGTTAGTTTTTAACTGACAGTTTGACACAACTCCAACTGCCTGGGAAAAGAGTCTCAGTGAGGGGTTGTCCAGATTGGGTTGGCCTATGACCATGCCTACAGGGAATCAATGTGATTGTTAAATGACCAGGGAGGGCCCTGCCTATGGTGGGCTGCACCACTCCACAGCTGGGCTCTGGGCTTTAAGAGTAAAGAAAGCTCTGGGAGCATAAGCCGGACCACAGAGAGGGAGCGTCCATTTCTCTCTGCTCTCGGTAAGCCGGCTCATGTTCTGCCGCTGTGACTTAAATGCAGCAGTGGGCTGTAACCTGAATCAAACCTTTCCTGCTTCCGGTGCTTTTTGTCTGGGTAGTTATCACAGCCACAGAAATTAAGCAAGAGCATACCGTTTGTTCAGAAAATGCCACAATGATATCCAGTGCCTTGTACGTTAATTTTAAAGAAATTACTATTATGAAACAACTAGTGTGTAGCCATATCTGCACTGAGTGCCTGGAACCTGACTTCTGAGATAACATCTTGTTTAATACCTTTTAAACAGGAGAAAGCCTGATTTTACAAAAGGCTTTAACACGGGCTAAATCAAGCTCTCACTCCGTATTGTTTCTTCTTCCTCTGGCCTTCTACATCAGCCATGATTAACCCCCAACATCTACTTTAAGACTGAATTCTAGTTTCAGATCCACCTTCCTTCTGAACTAGATGCCACAGATTAGAAGCCAGCCCTGTGGTGGGTCAACTCCAACCTCAAAGAAGGAAGTCCAACATAAATACAGCAAGTGGCAAAGGAGAGCAGCCGCAGAACACTTAACCTTCAGGAGAGAAGGATTCGGCACTCTGGTTCACCCGAGTCACAGCCTCTACGTAGCTCATGGGTGACCTGTCATCCATTCTCCCCATGGATGCATAGGATGCTGACAAGCTTCAGTAGGTAAAGCATTTGCTGAGAAAGCATTGGGGATTGGGTTTAGATCCCCAGAACCCCTGTCAGTCCTGAAACACTAATGCACATCTGCAGTGCAAGTGTTCCATGAAAGAGAGAGGAAGTAGAGACGTGAGAATCCTCCAAAGCTCGGGGCCAGCTATCCTGTCATATGCTATCCTGTCATATGCTATCCTGTCATATGCTAGCCTGTCGTATGTTAGCCTGTCGTATGCAGCAATGAGTGAGATCCTGTCTCAAGGTGGAAGGCGAGCACTGACAAACAACATTATCCCGTGACTTCCACAGTCGCACTACAGCCTGTTTGTACCTGTGTTTGCACAAATACACCATAGCACCCATGTGCAGCACACACGTGCATGCTCACATGTACACACACACACACACACACACACACACACACACACACACACACACACTTCTAAGTGCATAAAATTCAAAGACAGCCTCCCACCCATCTGTTTCCACCCAGAGTCAATTTCAGTCAGGTGGGGTAAGCTTTCACCATCCAGGAATTAGAAGCCCATAGTCCCAAATGCTACCTCCCTAGACCCAGGGGTTTAGAGGAACAACCTCTATAAAAACTCCTACAGAAAACAAGCGTATGGGAGAAACTGCCCATTTTTCAGCCTCTTATCCCTTCTGTACCTGGAAAGCTATATAGTCCAGACGCTGGCTGGAGCTCAGAGCCTTTAGAGGAAGGTCTGATGCCTCTGGTCTTCCGCCCCTGCTTTGATTGGGAAGAAGCGTCAGTAAGAGCCAGAATGAGATCTTAACTGGCCCCGTGGAGTTCCCATCACTTCACCCCACCCTCACCCATAGTGTTCAGAACTCAGGACAGCAGCTTTCAATTGTCACACCCTGTTGCTGAGTCCCCAGATCTGCTCTCAGGAAGACGGATAAGGAAGTGGGCTCTCCACTGAGAGAGACAGAGTGGAGGGGGAGCTTCTCACGTGGCATGGCCCTTACTGAATATTCTAGAAAAATTATTTGAGATAATTTGACATCTCTAACAGAAAGAACAACTGCACTTATGGTATGATCAAACTGTGAGTTGCCTATAATATTTTCAATGACTTCTGAAATAAGAGCCTTTGTTGCAGGGGGTCAAGCAATTCTCCAAGTCTTCCATAAATGCCAGCTATTCCAATTTCCTCTGCTCATTCATTTAATTTCCCCACACCGAGAGTTAATCCACTGTCTATTTAGCATGTAAGGAAAACCAAAGCAGGGTAGGTTAGAATTCAGGCTCTCAAGTCTACAGCTCCTTCATGGGAAATTCAGAATTTATTTGGTTTCTCCCCTTTGAAAAAGAAAACTTTTATTCATTCTTTGACAATTCCATACATGTATACAATGTGTCTTTATCATATCCACCTCTGACTTCCCTCTTTACTTCCCCAGGATACACCCCAACACACCTCCCTCCAACTTTCATGTGTTCTTCTCTTCCTTTCTCATGACATATTGATTCCAGCTAGTGCTTCCACCTGTTGAAAACACTGATGCTGCTGGCGTGAACTTGTCGGGGACTTATTATCACTGCCAGGGGTTGTGACTGAGAGGGGGAGTGTGGATTAAGAAATGGCAGGTAAAAAATTACAGATATGAAAGAAAAGACAGAGATACAGGATAGAATGCAGGGAGGGCACTCCAGTGAGTACTGGGTGGGGGAAGCCCCAAGTTTATTACCCACAGTCTTCGTGTACCCCAATCAACAGTGGAAGAAAGCATTACCAAGCTGCAAAGAACATGCAAGCATAAACTACCTTCTCAATACACAAAACATGAAGTAACCACAGCTTAAAACAAGTGTCCTGTTGTCAAGGCAAGATAGACAATAGTCCAAGGGTATCTCCCACTTTCTCTTCTAAGAATTCAGTATGTTTGGATGTATGTTGAGGTCTTTGATCCATTTGGACGTAAGTTTTGTGCATGGTGATAGATATGGATCTATCTGCAATCTTCTACATGTCAGCACCCAGTTATGCCAGCACATTTGTTGAAGATGCTTTCTTTTTTCCACTGTATAACTCTAGTTTCTTTGTCAAAAATCAGGTGTTCATAGGTGTGTAGATTAATATCAGGGTGTTCAGTTTGATTCCATTGGTCCACCTGTCTGTTTTTATGTCAATACCAAGCTGTTTTCATTACTATAGCTCTACAGTAGAGTCTGAAATCAGGGATGGTGATGCCTTGGAAAGTTCCTGCATTGTACAGGATTGTTTTGGCTATCCTGGGGTTTTTATTTTTCCATATGAAATTTAGAATTGTCCTTTTGGGGTCTGTGAAGAGTTTTACTGGGATTTTGAGGGGATTGCATTGAATCTGCAGGCTTTCGGTAAGCTTACTATGTTGATCATACCTATCTAAGTGCATGGGAGATCTCTCCATTTTCGGATATCTTCTTTAAAGATTTCTTTCTTTAAAGAGTTAAAGTTCTTGTCATATAGGTCTTTCACTTGTTTGGATAGAGTTACTCCAAACTATTTTATGTTGTTTTTATTTACTGCAAAGAGTGATGCCTCTCTGATTTCCTTCTCAGCCCATTTATTATTTATTGTTTATATATTAGGACTACTGATTTTTTGAGTTAATCTTGTATCCTGCCACTTTGCTGAAGGTTTTTATCAGCTGTAGGAGTTCCCTGGTAGAGTTTTTTGGGTCATTTATGTAAACTAATATATCATCTGCAAATAGTGAACATTTGACTTCTTCATTTCCAATTTGTATTCCCTTGATCTCCTTTTGTTGTCTTATTGCTCTAGATAGAACTTCAAGTACAATATTGAAGAGATATGGAGAGAGTGGACAGCCTTTTCTTGTTCCTTATTTTAGGAGGGATGAGCAAAGGAGACAAGACTATGTTGGAGAAACCCACAGAAATAGCTAACCTGACCTAGTGAGAGCACAGATACCCTAGTCATAAAGCAATGGACTGAACCAAGCCCTCTGAATGTGAGTGCTAGCTAGGAGGTCTGGGCAGTCTATGGAACCTCTAACAGTGGAAGCAGTGTTCATCCCTAGTGCACAAATGGATTTTGGGAACCCATTCCCTAGAGAGGGATACTATTGCAGCCCAGATACATGCAAGAGGGCCTGGGCCCTCCCCAAAATGATGTGACAGACTTTGATGATCTTTTGTGGAAGGCCTCACTATCTTTGGGGTGTGGGTGTGGGGTAGGTTGGGGGATCAGTGGGAGCATGGGAGGATGGGAGGATGAGGGAATGGAGGATTGATATTTAAAATAAGATTATTTCTATACTAAAAAAATAAAAAGATAGACAATAGTCATACCTTATGTTAAACATCCTGTTGTTAAAGTAAGACATCTGTTAGTTACTTCTTGTTATTTAACCTTGAGAGAGCAATAGTGGGTTTGAATTCTCTGACTTTAAGTCAAGATGAATTGGAGCCATTTCTATGGGCCCCGACAACTTACGTACAAAGCTACAGATGCTGTATGAGTTCCTGAGTGCCATGGCCATGCTGTGTCCAGAAGACAGCATTCACAGCCCCTCTACAGACTCTGGCTCTTACATCTGCTCCTCCCCCTCTTCCTCATATGACATTCCCTGGGCTGTGGGATAGTTGATATAGATGGTCCATTTAGAACTGAACTCTCAGGAGTTTATTCCCAGCAAATTGACCAGTTATGAGTTTTGCCATTGCTACCCACCACACAAAGAGGATTTTTGTCCAAGGATGAGAACAGCACAGACCCATGTATATAAACATGGATATTTAAAAGGTGCCTTAGCAAATCAACCGTAGTAGGTTCCCCTGCTTGGGAATATGACCTCCTGGGACATGGGCTTTTGACCAAGTTTACAATGCCATGGGTGAATTGTCTACTATAGAGATGGCCTCAGACCCAGCCAGAAAGCAGTTGATTATTCCTGCAAGCTTCCTGACACTAATGCACTAGTGACAAAATATCATGAATATTGTGGTGTACATGGATAATGTAATTAATGCCAAGAGACAAGAGCAGTATGTATAGCATTTTCCTTAAAAGACCTATCTTCAATGCTGCCAAAGTGGAGATCAAATTTCAATATGAATTTCAGGGAGGCACACAAGCCATATTCAAACCACAGCACTTTTATAATTCACCCCCTCAAATTCATGTCTTTCCCACAAGTGCAATTATTCTATTCCAAGGATACACAAGGACTTGCTGTTCCAGCCCCAACTCAAAAGCCCCAATGTCCAACTGTGAGCCTATAAAATGAAAACGAAATTTCCCAATTTTAACGATGATACTATTACATCCAAGTCTGTTTGCTGCGCTCTCCTCCTAAAACAATACTTGGAAGATGAGAATTGGTTAAAAATTCATCACTGGGAAGAAACAATGAAATCCTGAAATTCAACGGTAAATGATGGAACTAGAATAAATCATCCTGAGTAACGCAGTCACAGAAAGACAAACATGGTGTGTACTCATTCACATATGGCTATTAGACATAGAGAAAAAGAATTATCATCTACAATCAACACTCCCAGAGAAACTAGGAAACAAGGAGGACCCTAAGAAAGACACGCATAGTCCCCAGAGAAGGGGAAAGGGATAAGAGATCCTGAACAAATTGGGAGCACAGGAGAGGGGGGAGGAAGGTAGGAGAAAGAGGAGCGGAAAAAAGGAGGAGGAAGGAGAACATGAAGGTTCAGGAAGATTGAGTCGGGGAAGAATATGAGGAGAGCAAGAAAAGAGATACCTTAATAGAGGGAGCCATTATAGGTTTAAAGAGAAATCTGGCACTAGAGAAATGTCCAGAGATTCTCAAGGATGACCCCCAACTAAGAATCTAAGCAATAGTGGAGAGGTTACCTTAAAAACCCTTCCCCTACAAAGAGATTGATGACTACCTTAAATGCTATCCTAGAGCCTTCATCCAGTAGCTGATGGAAGCAGAAGCAGAGATCCACAGCTAAGCACTGAACTGAACTCCTGAAATCCAGTTGTAGAGAGGGAGGAGTAATGAGCAAAGGGGTCGAGACCACATTAGGGAAACCCACAGAAACAGCTGACCTGAGTAAGTGGGAGCTCATAGACCCCAGTCAGACAGCTGGGGAGCCAACATAGTACCAAACCAGGCCCCCTGAACATGGGTGACAATTAGGAGGCCTGGGTAGCCTATGGGGCCTCTGGCAGTGGAACCAGGATGTATCCCTAGTGCACAAATGGACTTTGAGGGCCCATTCCCCCATGGAGGGATACTCTCTCAGTCTAGATACATGGGGGAGGACCTAGGCCCTGTCCCAAATGATATGACAGACTTTGATGATCACTCATAGAAGGCCTCACCCTCCTGGGGAGTGGATGGAGGTGGGATAGGGTGGGGCGGATGGGTGGGGGCCATGGGAGGATGGAAGGGAGAGGGAACTGGGATTGATGTGTAAAATAAGACAATTTCTAATTTAAAGACTCAGAAACAAGAAAGAAAGAAATGTAGCTATTGTTCACTCAAACATGGTAAAATAAAAAAATTAGGTAGAACAGTCAAAAATTGTTCAATGAACAATCATCTGAGAAGTGTTTGTTCTCTACGTTTGTTAGCTTTTTGATAATGGGACTGACTGTCTGAGAAAATCAACTTGCAGAGGAAACATTTTATTTTGGCTTGTTGTTTGAGAAGTTTCAGTCCATGGTCCAGTGATGCTATGGTTTTTGGCTTGTGGTGAGGGAAAACCTTATGACTAGGAACATGTGGTGGAGCACAGATGCTCAACTCATGTCAGCCTACAAGGAAAATGCTGCTGGTGGTGGTGGAGGTGGTGGTGGTGATGGTGGTGGTGCTGCTGCTGTGCCTGATGATGATGATGATGATGATGATGA